CACAAAGCCCATTCCGTCAAATCATCACGTCCGTTACATAAAATAAACAGGGCCGCTATAGGAAACTTGTCTAATGTATAAAACAGTTATGTTCTAGCAACTTCTAATGGACAGAGGAGGTGCTTGGAAACATGAAAAACATAAAATATCTTCTGATTATTAAAATCTAATTTTTGGCCTTTTGTCACACTTTTGTGCCCTTTAGTGTGAACAAGCCCAGATGGATTTTAATGCATAGCTACGTGTTTTGTAGTTTGAAAGTTAGTTGTGTGAAAATGTAGTTATCTGCAGTTCATCCAGAGTGATCATGGGCCTCTTGGCTGCCTCTCTGATCAGTCTTCTCCTTGTTTGAGATGAAAGTTTGGAGGGACGGCCGGGTCTTGGTAGATTTGCAGTGGTCTGATACTCCTTCCATTTCAATATAATTGCTTGCACAGTGCTCCTTGAGATGTTTAAAGCTTGGGAAATCTTTTTGTATCCAAATCCGGCTTTAAACTTCTCCACAACAGTATCTCGGACCTGCCTGGTGTGTTCCTTTGTCTTCATGGTTCTCTCTGCGCTTTAAACAGAACCCTGAGACTATCAAAGAGCAGGTGCATTTATACGGAGACTTGATTACACACATGCGTGCATTCTATTTATCACCATCAGTCATTTAGGACAACATTGGATCATTCAAAGATCCTCACTGAACTTCTGGAGTGAGTTTGCTGCACTGAAAGTAAAGGGGCCGAATAATATTGCACGCCCCACTATTCAGTTTTTTATTTGTTAAAAAAGTTTAAATTATCCAATAAATTTCGTTCCACTTCATGATTGTGTCCCACTTGTTGTTAATTCATGACAAAAAATGTAAATGTTATATCTTTATGTTTGAAGCCTGAAATGTGGCGAAATGTTGAAAGGTTCAAGGGAGCCGAATACTTTCGCAAGGCACTATATATATGTATTTTTTTGCAGTGCATGAATGATTATACATTGCAGAAAAAAAAAATCATTGATTGCATTTGATGGTTTTGCAGCACAGACAGCTGCTCAGGGATCGCTTCATGGTGGAGCTGGTGGAAGGCTCTCGGAAACTGCGTCATGTTTTCCTGTTCACCGACCTCCTGCTCTGCACCAAACTAAAGAAGCAGGCCCTGGGGTGAGTCATGTGACCGATCCACGAGTGTCACACACACACGCGCACGCACACACACACACACGCACACTCATGCATTTACACACACAGGGGTCATAGGTCAAGACAAAACACCACGAGTGTTTAAGATCACATTACTAAACTGGTGGGAAATTCTTTGTTGGAATAATATACAGGTTGCGTTTGCATTAGAGCTGAAAGATATATTAATGTTGAGAACTTTATAGATGGAGATTTACAATATATTAAACAGTTGGGAGACTGTTTATTATGACTATTTTATGTTTTTTGTTTTTCAAAAAACAAGGACGAGCACACACACCTGTGGAATGAAACTCACCTCTTACACTAAAAACTCTTGTGCTCTCCCCGGGTCAAAGTGACCCAGTCACAGTGATTCAAAAATATTTCACAAGCTGAATTTTGATGATTACTCTTAACTTGACCAGCCCTAGGTCAGTTAGACCCTTTTAGACCATGCATTAGGGTTTTTTCTTCTACTTTTAATGATCTGTGGTGGGTCATTTTGACCCGAGGGTATCAACAAGGGTTATCAACATATTATAGGGATAATCCTTTGAACATACAGTATTTCTTTATGTGAATGTGGGAATGCTCTTGACCATTTTGTCTGTAATATTTCTCTTGATGTAAGCAGGAAAGGGCAGCAGTACGACTGTAAGTGGTACATCCCGCTGGCAGATCTCACCTTCCAAACTCTGGAGGACTACGACACCACACCGTTCCCGTTAATCCAGGACGAGGAAATCGACGCCATGAAAATCAAAATCTCCCAAATCAAGAACGATATTCAGCGAGAGAAGGTAAACAACAGGAAACAAAGCAGGAACTAACAAAGTCAGATGACCGTGTGTAATGTGGAGGTCTGTCTAGACACAATCTGAGGAAACATGAGATAGAAAGACTTTTTAAAGATATGGATGCTTTTAGGAACGATGAAAAGGATTCAATCACGGGATGTGTTCAAGTTTGACTATTTAAAGTTATACTGCAATGGTCGCTTTGTCATTTCCATAGGATTTACGCTGAATATTTCATAACTGATTAATTACCATGACTATTTCTGAAATTGTATGTGAAAGAGACAAAAGGTTGAGTCCTGAAACTATATAAGAGAAAAAGAAGAAGGAAAAGTGTAGGGATTAGGCAACCATTATGGACTAAAATCCCTGGGGAGCAATTTCCTTACACCCCGATCAACATGGGCTGGTATGTCAGAAGACCACAGCTTTTTACCCGCCTTGCTTGCTACTTTGTCTTTTTGCTCGGATGTCTTCATTGGGAACATTCAACACCCAAATATATCAATAATTAAAACAACAAAATAGCCACACTTTTTCAAAAATGTTGAAGGAACCGTCAACATTTGGGATCTTTCCACTCGCTGATTTTTCCTTTATGTAGTTTGTTTATATTGCTCCATGTGGATAAATAAGCCTATTTTTATAATCTGACCATTTTGTCCAGTGTTTTTCAAAGATGTGTCTCTTGACTCATAATGAAAAAGTTAGACTTTTTTTTTAATAACTCTCTTTAATGATATCTAATCAGCGGTCCTCTGTGGCGGGTCATCTGTGAGCCAGTTCCTCATGATCACTTTCCTTGTTACAACTAGGATTATTTTTAAAAGATAACAGTATCTATGATGTCTTGGGGCAAAAGGTTCAGCAAAAAAATCTTGGGATCCTTTGGTACAACCTGGGTCAGAATGGAGTCCACTGTTTCCGCTTTAAACACACACCCTCCCAAAAAGGTTTTAATTTTGTCCATAACCAGAAAATATGAGAGAGATTGGTATTAATTAGGGCTGCACGATATATTGAAAAAACATCGTTAACGTGATATTGGTGCGTACGATATCCATATTGAAAAGATCCGCAATAAAAAATAATTAAAAATAATTAAAAAAAGAATGTAATTGTTTTTTTTTTCTTTATAAATACAACAAAACAGACAGACACATCAACATTCAACAAGAACAACAGACAAACAAAAAAGTATATAAATATATGCATTTTGAATGTTATTAATGTTGTGCTTAGTTTTCGTTATTTGTCTCTTGTGTTTCGATGCAGATTGTAATTTTAGATGAAATTAGACAGAAATATGCAATAATATTGTTATCGAAATACTTAACACTCATATCGAATAATGCTCTAATTTCCAATATCGTGCAGCCCCAGTATTATTGTCTCCACACAGTTTTCAGCACTGTTGTTTATGCCCTTTTACAGGTTAGGGTTCATTTTAAAACATTCCCCCATGGTGAAAAGCGACATGGGTCCAAACAACACACCAGCCTTTCCCACTGTCGTCCCGGGTCGACATGCCATTTCAGCAAAAAGCCTTTAGACTCTTAATTTTGAGACAATTTAGAGGAACACACATCCAGTTTCCACCAGATCTATTACAAAAATACAGCCCCTGAATAAATTTGACTACAGAGATTTGGCTATGGCCTTACTCGTTGGATTTAACCTTTTTGTTTTTTTGACAGAGAACAACAAAAAACCCCAAGGTGATGGAGCGGTTGAGGAAGAAGCTGTCGGAGCAGGAGTCCATGTTGCTGCTGATGTCTCCAAACATGGCCTTCAGAGTGGCCAACAGGAACGGAAAGGTGCGCCTCACACTCAAACATTCATAAGCTCCTCTCAGTTCTGCAATGTGTGCTGCAACACTGACATTTCCTCACAAATAAAGGTTGTATTTTCTTATCTTAGTTAGATAATCTTAGGGTCCAATTGTCTTGCCTACAGTTGTGCTTGCATTTAATTGTTTTTGCCATATTTTGGAGCTCGTGAATCAAAAACCATTTTTCACTTCTCATGTGAAGCCATGTGTTTTCTAGTAAATGTATTTCTATTCTAAAATGATAAATTATATACTCATTGCATGTTACAGTAGTGATGGGGGTGGCCGTGGTAGTAGTAGGATAGACCATTGAACAGGATAGACCATTGAACAGGATAGACCATTGAACAGGATAGACCATTGGACAGGATAGACCATTGAACAGGATAGACCATTGAACTGGATAGACCATTGGACAGGATAGACCATTGAACAGGATAGACCATTGAGCAGGATAGACCATTGAACAGGATAGACCATTGGACAGGATAGACCATTGGACAGGATAGACCATTGGACAGGATAGACCATTGGACAGGATAGACCATTGAGCAGGATAGACCATTGAACAGGATAGACCATTGGACAGGATAGACCATGACACAGGATAGACCATTGAACAGGATAGACCATTGAGCAGGATAGACCATGACCCAGGATAGACCATTGGACAGGATAGACCATGACCCAGGATAGACCATTGGACAGGATAGACCATGACACAGGATAGACCATTGAACAGGATAGACCATTGAGCAGGATAGACCATGACCCAGGATAGACCATTGGACAGGATAGACCATGACCCAGGATAGACCATTGGACAGGATAGACCATTGGACAGGATAGACCATTGGACAGGATAGACCATTGGACAGGATAGACCATTGGACAGGATAGACCATTGGACAGGATAGACCATTAAACAGGATAGACCATTAAACCCAAACAGGATAGACCATTGAATAGGATGACCATTGGACAGGATAGACCATTGAACAGGATAAAGACCTCATCCACAACTGCCACATAGACTCAAAGTTGCCATTATAATTTAAGGCTTAAAAAGAAGGTCTTAATTTGAACAGGCTTATCAACACTTGTCTCTGGAATCATTTTGCAGGAGTTGTGTCATTGCACTAAATGAATGTGTGCATCTGCCGCCCCCTGCTGGCTGTGATTAAACATTTCTTATCTGTCTTCCCAGGGTTTCACATTCCTAATCTCCTCTGATTACGAAAGAGCCGAGTGGAGGGAGATTATTCGAGAACAACAGAAAAAATGTGGGATAGATTTTTAAACATTTAATTGAAAATAGAACGTAACTTTGATCTCACACTGTCCCACTTTGTCCTGTAGGTTTTAAAAGCTTCTCTCTCACGTCTTTGGAGCTGCAAATGCTCACCAACTCCTGTGTGAAACTGCAGACAGTGCACACCATTCCGATGACTATGAGCAAAGAAGGTACATTTTCTCTTAAAAACCAAATTTAACCGTAAATAACTCTTTAACATTTCTTTTATCTATTTTAATATTTACATTATTTACAGATGATGAGTCTTCGGGTTTGTACGGCTTCCTGAACGTCATAGTCCACTCCGCGTCCGGCCTCAAACAGAGTCTAAGTGAGTGTGATACAATACAATAGACAACGGAAAGTACAGCTTTTTGAAAATTGCGCCATGTTTTGCAATTCAAAATGATAATGTGACTATTTATTTTGTCATTTCATGTTGTAGACTGTGAACATTATCTTCAGTATTATGAAACTAGTATGACAGGCCTTAGAGTAGCAATATCAAAACATTCAGAGGCCTCAAGATAATTTTAAACTGTTATATCAAGTTGCAGTACTGGTGATTGGCTACAATAGAATCTTTTTTAAATCCAATTTTCTCAAGAATACAACCATATTATTTCTTTTATTTAGAAATGTTTATTTAGAAGTTATATTGTTTCATTTTCTCTTAATATAATATATATATATATATATATATATATATATATATATATTATATATATATATATATATATATATATATATATATATATATATATATATATATATATATATATATATATATATTATATATATATATATATATATATATATATGCAAGATGCTGGCAGGGAAGGCCTACATGGAACGCCATAACCAAGTGGCTGGCATAGTGTACAGAAACATCTGTGGAGAGTATGGGCTGGAAACCCCAAGGTCTAAGTGGGAAACTCCTCCAAAGGTGGTGGAAAATGAGCGTGCGAAGATCCTGTGGGACTTCCAGATACAGACCGACCGAATGGTAATGGCAAACCAACCTGACATCGTGGTGGTAGACAAAGGGCAGAGGACAGCCGTGGTGGTGGACGTGGCAATTCCAAGCGATGGTAACATCCGGAAAAAAGAACATGAAAAGCTTGAGAAATACCAAGGTCTCAGAGAGGAGCTGGAGAGGGCCTGGAGGGTAAAGGTGACAGTAGTGCCCGTGGTGATCGGTGCACTCGGGGCAGTGACCCCGAAGCTAGATGAGTGGTTACAGCGGATCCCCGGAACAACCTCGGACATCTCGGTCCAGAAATGTGCAGTGCTAGGAACAGCAAAGATACTGCGCAGAACCCTCAAGCTCCCTGGCCTCTGGTAGAGGACCCGAGCTTAGAGAGGGATAACCGCCCGCGGAGGGCCAAAGGTGAGTGGACAATTTTATATATATATATATATATTATATTATAATATATATATATATATATATATATATATATATATATATATATATATATATATATATATATATATATATTATATATATATATATATATATATATATATATATATATATATATATATAATAAGTGAACTCTTATTGTTCAAAAAAATCTACTGGAAAAGAATATCCAATCAAACTAATGTGAATCAAGTAATGTATTGTAGCGAGATAACAGCTTTTAGACATTCGGCCCCCAACCAGATCTTACTTTTGTTTTTGTTCAAAGGAGTTCGTCACCTCTGCCTTAGACAGAAGGGAGATGTAGAATTTTAAGTAAGTAAGTAAGTAAGCTTTATTTATATACCGCCTTTCACAGACCAGAGTCACAAAGCGGTTTACAATTGTTATTATTTTTGGGCACTTGTCCTCTCACTCCACACAGAGATGGGAGCGGGGTCGCCGAACAGGAGGCGCATGCCAGACCTATTGCACATATTTTTAGTGGTAGGGGAAACCGGAGTACCCGGAGGAAACCTACGCAGACACGGGGAGAACATGCAAACTCCACTCAGAAAGGCCCTGGTCCGGCCGGGATTCGAACCCAGGACCTTCTTGCTGAGAGGCGAGAGTGCTATCCACTCAGCCACCGTGCCGCCTGGCTTTTTGTTTCTTTTCCCCCGAATTTGAAATGTACCGCATGCAAACACATACATGTGATTTAAAGAATGTAATTTCACTTTAGAAATTGCCAAAACTAAATTACGGGCTACTTCTGCTACTTTTGTTTTTAAGAAGCAGAAAAGCGCTCTGTCATAGTCATACAGTTACATCCCAGACAGAGTTATACGTTTGGGCTTGAAGTCTGTTTCTGATGAGACACGGTTGAAAAATGTTGCAAAGGATCTTGAACTTCTTAGAGTCCATTGTGCAGCTCTGTTGTCCATCCTCCCCTGGTAATGCTCGGGGTGGCACGTGTTGCAGGATCTCTCCCTCTCGTCATCGGCGAGGGCAGCTGCTGCAGTGGGATTAGCCGAGAACACTGCGTCCAAGCCACCTCAAATATGTCTCAGCCAACTCGCCACGCTGGAAGCTTAGGGTTTCACTTTACTCTCCACCAGACAAACAATGGCACGATTATAACGGGATATATGACATTAGATGGAAGCATGCTGTGGGTGTGGCAGTAAAAGGGAATCCCGCACTGAAAACACTGAAAACAACTTCAGGCTATGTATATAAAACAATTATAATGTCTCTTTAGTACAAATGTTTATAGATAAAACATGTGGCCTATTATAGATAGTGTCTTGGTTATTAATATGCCACATTTGTTAGATTTAAACTCAGTATAGATCTCTAGTAAGTAAGTAAGTAAGTAATCTTTATTTATATACCGCCTTTCACAGACCAGAGTCTCAAAGCGGTTTGCAATTGTTATTTTTTGGGCACTTGTCCTCTCACTCCACACAGAGATGGGAGCGGGGTCGCCGAACAGGAGGCGCATGCCAGAGCTATTGTACATATTTTTTGTGGCAGGGGAAACCGGAGTACCCGGAGGAAACCTACGCAGACACGGGGAGAACATGCAAACTCCATTCAGAATCCTTTTTGCTTCAAAGCTAACTTCAATGTTGAATTTTTCCTTGTTTTTTTTTTCTTTAAAGGTACTCTCCACCATGTTGTTAAATTGTTGTCACAGGCTTAGAATTTGACTTATAAATGTCCATGAGGCTGGAGGGCTCTACATGTCAATGCGCCATCTTGAAATACAGTGGCTGATAAGGGACAAAAAAGAGTTTGACCGGGAGTTGGGGACCACTGTCAAAGACCTCATATTGTCCTGCAAAGCCACCGTAGAACCGTAAATTATTACAATATATGATCTAAACGCTATATGGGAGCAAAAACTACACAGTGAACCTTTAAAATCAGTCTGAGAGAAAACCAGCTTGCAGATAACTAATATTTATAAATGTAATTATTTGTTTCAGTCCAAACAGCAGATTTCATATGGCTTAATGTTTTATTAATTCTTCTAAAAGCAACATTTCCAATAATGAGTGGATCAGCCTTGAGCTGGTTTTAGTCTTTCAGAAAGTACAAGAACAACACACAAAGGATTTTTTACTAAGTTATCAATGATTGTTGATTATTTGTGAATAATTTATCATAGGGGTGGGCGATATGGCCTAAAATTCATATCGCGGTATAATTTGGGTCATAGACGGTAGACGGTATATATCGCGGTATAATTTGGTGTGTGAATTTCAATATAGGTCTAGCAGGTTCTTGCATAAAATAGTCAAGATTGTTAATTATTTATATATTAGAATCTAATATATATTTTTTGAGTTAGAAAATCAGTTGTGAGACGAATAAAGAGACAAATAACATACATTATTTATGTATGTTACAGTAAATACCATTCACTGTAAAAGCAATTTTTAAAAAGAAAAACATATGCATTCATTTAAAATATAAAAAACTCACAAATGATGAAAACAAAGTCTGTAGGAGTTAGACATGGTCATTATTTATAGTGTCGTTGTTCGTTGTTCGTTCTGTTGTTCGTTGTTTCCAGTGGTGTCCAATAGTGCTAGGCTAATGCTAGGCTAATGCTGCTAGGCTAATGCTGCTGAATGCCGGTTTGTTTTGGTGCTCTCTGCTGGCGTCAGAGCCTGCGCAATTTAATGACATAATGACGTATCGCAATATGCCGGTATAACAAAAATCTCTACCGTGGGCCAAATTTATACCGTCTACCGCTTATACCGTTTATACCGCCCAGCCCTAATTTATCATATCATCATGACACAGACCCGGCACTTCTCTCCCATCACTCGCAGGATTCTTCTCTGCATCAAATCTAATCCACTTTTTTTATATAGAGCATTTCATAAAACAAGTTGCCAAAGTCCAAAGTAACAAATTTAAATATTCAAGTCTGCCAGCTTTATGTATTTAAAAAACTGGAATATGAATAAAACATTATGATGCAACAAAAACAAAAACATATATATTTTTTTAAACAACTGTACATACATTAATTTACATATACATTTGTCCATCCAATCATTTCAGTTTTTGTGTTTTTGTACAAACATGTTGCCTTCGTTGTTAGACATAAAAAGGGGAATTGTCGGTATAATAATAATAATAATAATATCTGATGCTTATCCGTGTTCCAGACTTGTACTGCTCTCTGGAGGTGGATTCATTTGGATATTTTGTGAACAAGGCAAAGACCCGAGTGCATCGAGACTCCACTGAACCCAACTGGAACGAGGTGCGCCGCATTGATTTCGCCACATTTGCACAAACTAAATATTAAACAAAATAACATTGCTTTTGTCTTCAGGAGTTTGAGATCGAGCTGGAAGGTTCACAGACTCTGAGGCTGCTCTGCTACGAGAAATGTGGCCCCAAATCCAAACAGGGCAAAGAGGACGGAGAACTGTCGGAGAGGATCGTCGTCAAAGGTCAAATCAAGGCAAGTCTAATTGTCTGTGTAAAAGAAATCCAAATTGATAAATGGGGTGGTAATTATTGCTAGACTCCAACTTTTATGATCAGTGGCGGCGCCGTGTCTTCTGCATTAGCCGAGGTCCACAAGTTAGCTTATTGACAAACTTATTACCAGGGGCAAAAATCCTGGCTCTCCCGGCCCTGGCTCTCCCGGCCCTGGCTCTCCCGGCCCTGGCTCTCCCGGCCCTGGCTCTCCCGGTCTCTGTTCTTCTTGAGAAAGGCGTTCTAACTATTTAGTTTCCAGAACGATATATTCACCTCCTTCTGTTTGTTTGTGTTGATCACATTCTGCACCACAGACTATAATTGACGTCTCGTGTATCCAATCAGGAGTCGGAGACTTGACACTGATTGGTTGATGCCCCAGGTTTGTTTTAATTGCCTTTAAGCTAGGGCTGTAATGTTGAGTCTGAAGGCCTAAAGGCAGATTCTGGGACATAGCAACACATGACGCTGAGCAATGATTGGATAAAAACTCTGTTAGACGCCAGACCTCCCAAATGTCGACCCGAAGTTGGAAGCTGCGCAACCAATGTAGTTTGTAAAAAAATATACATAGAAAAGACAATAATAAGTAGAAAAATTATATATTATAAAAACATATATATATGTAATCATGTTTAGGCCTGAAGAGGGTTCGCCACTGTTTATGGTTTTTTATTATCTGCTAGTATCCAAAAAAGAATCTTCAGAAACCATTGAAAAACTTCCATATTTTTGTCCGTTAAAATGATAATGAGACTATTTACTTTGTCATTTTCACGTTTTAGTACATAATACATGGTGAAACAAGTACAAAAGGTCAATCGCCAACATGATCATAGAATCATAGAATCCGTCCAGCCACCACAACGTTTACAATAACACAGCTTAAATCTTTACACAATCATCGTGGACTGAGAGAAAACGCCTTTATGTGAACGAAAGAATATTTGAAATGCCAGATAAGAGCTTTTTCATGACTGATTTCATAACGTGAGGGGATTGCTTTCTCGTACATTTCTCAACACATTTCCTTCAACTTTTTGTCACAGACTTGACTGAAAAACTATTAATATACTATAAACTATACTATGAACTTCTGCGCTACCAAGAAAAGTCTTTATGTTGCGAGCGGCGGCAGGATTAGTAACAAACGTGGCCCTTGGCTCTGGCCCCAAACCGTGACTTTCTCCCGATCTGCTTTGATCCGGAGTGAAGAGATTTCCCAAACGGACAGGTGGCTCAGAGGGGAAAGGTGGAGAGAGCCGCAATCCAATGTTCTTCAAGATTTGGGCTTTACTTGAACACAAATGTGAAGTGTAGTCAGTGGAGTTGTCTCTGTATCGTGGTTTCATTTTCCATTTGTGCTGAATTGACAGTTTTTTCAAATTGTATTCAACAAACATGTATTCAAATCCACAACCCATACGTTATGATATGTTATTATAATCTCTTCCAATGTCCTAAACTTATGCTGAGAGTAGAATACGTTTCATGACTAGAGCAGAAATTGCACTGAAAAATAAAAATACTAGTTGTTCAAATTAAAAATACACAGTCAGGATGCCCTCCAGGGATTCGACCAAATTGATTAAAACTATTTCTAGTTCAGCAGAAAATGTTAATTAAATAAAACCGTTACTAATTGTGATTGTTTTAAGTTAGCTTCTTCCTCAGCTAACGTTAGCCCTGTTAGCTAAATGTCTCCTAGCTGGAGCATGATCAACCATGATATCATATAGCTTAGCAGATAAAATACATCAGACCTCAGTAGGAGTCGCTTTAATGCGAGATATTATCTACGTAGTGTCCCCAGATAATGAGTCATATTTGGCCTTTTTTCTGAACAAAAGTTATTCTTGAACAAAAATACAATGAGATATTTATGTTTACAGTATTCAAGCAGATAATCCAATCAGAAAGAAGAATGAGGCCCTCCTTTGAGAGTTTGTTAAGTGAAATTTAGCCTGAGAATCTTGCAGCACTATTTTAGAAGGAAGGAAAGACATGTTCATATATCATTATTCATACAAAAAATGCAACTTGTGAGAACTGGACAAAACAGACCCACTCAAAACAGGCGTTCAACAGGTTTGAGACACATCCTAAAATACACCGAAAACAAAGTCAGATCCAATTATGGTCACTTTAGTTTGCTCCAGATATGAGCGTGGCATGGGAGCACATATTATTAGGTAGAGCATTCCATTTACAAGGAGCTTTTGAGTCGTTCCTCGCCTCGTTTGTTACTTTTGCAATTACTGTGTTTGAAAGTCCTCCGAGACGTCTGCTGCAGTGATTTAGCGCTATACCAAAATGAATTGAGTAGCTTATAAAGAACTGATGTATTAGAATAGAAAAAATAGAATAGACTAACTGTAGCAGCAGCAGCAGCTTTTAGGCTCAGTAATGTAACCCACAAGTTCCTCTGGTCTGTCTTGACCTGGGATAGCCTTGAGCTTCTGTCACGGGCTGAACTTCCGCTCCTCTTGGCTCTGAGCGGTGACAAGTGTGAGCGCATTGTAAAGAGGGTAGGAGGGGATTCACCGCTAATCCTAAAATCCATTTGGGACAAGAGCAGCAAGCGGCGTGCTCCACCGCCTTTGTTCTGCCTTCAACAGACAATGGACACATGCACCGATCATTATTGAACTTTTTGTCTGGCTTTTGAGGAGATAAGTTGTTGTTTTATGAGTAGCTTTCTGGACATGGGCACGACTCGGACTTTATAACAGCTTTAGATAAGCCCTGTGATATTTTTCAATCTGAAGGTTTTAAACATGAGCGATTTTAGTCCAAATATTGAGGATGCGATGGACACGATGGAGCTGGAAAGGGACTTGATTCAGAGGAAAGGCCTGAACACCGGAGCACGACTGTGGGATAAAGTGCGAGGGAGGCTGCTCAGGCAGAAGGTAGAGCGGAGCTGCAACGACTGACGCACTTGTTGGAATCAGAAAAGTTTTAACACAATTTTGTTTCATTGATTACCATTAACATATCATTGTGTAAATACATTGATATCTATTTAGTTTGATTTTAAGACAGTCATTCTCAAACTTTTCTCTCAGGGATTATTGCTGAGTAAAGCATTATCCATTTGTATTTTAAAACTAGTGACAATGGTGGAATACCTGCAAGCGATTCAAATTGTTGAAAAAGGTCACTTTCTGTCTCTAAATACTGTCTCAAAATAGTTGCTTTCTTCTATTTTGTTTATTTGAGCTAAAAACAAGTGATATGTGCAGATGTACAGACCAAAATGAGGAAAATATTTCTATTGGGGCATTAAAGTAGTCCGATTATAACTGGGAACTATTATTGGAAAGTAATATGTTTATAGCTGTGTTATAAAACGGTGTTGTCGATTTATAATGAAGATGAAATTCTCTGTAAGAGTTAAAGCTCAGGGGCCTAACTTTCAAAATGTAACTAATAATACCCATGTAATAGTTCCTAGCGCTGACTTTTTAAAATACATTTCACATGTTTGTGTTTTTGGCCTCTGTCCCATCTTTAGATCCGCTTTTTCAGGCAGAAAAGTTGAAAAGAGGACTCACTCGGGCCAATAAGGCTCTCAGCCCAAAGCGACAAATAGTGACTCTTGGGGCTCATTCCAACATGCATGCAAAAAATAACATGTTATTTGTATGATTTATGGCCAAAAAATCTCAAAATAAAAGCCATAAACAATAATTACGTACTTTAAAATAAATGTCTAATAAATGCACTCGATGACATTTGAATCACATAATGTTGTTGTCTCGTTTAAGTTGTTTCTCACTGGACAAAGGATTATCTGAATAGGATTTCATGTGTTTTCTTTGGTGAAACAACATCTGCCGCACTGAACGAATCCTGTGTTATGATGCTGCCATGTTTGTAATTTAAGATTATAAATATAAATCTCTAATTACAAACATTTCCACAGAGGGCCGGAAATGGATATACTGACAGAACACAAAGGGCCAATACAGGGCTGTGACTTTCTGACGGCGAGTACATTTAAGTGCAGAACGTGATCCATGTGAGCCACCGTATGTGTATCTAGCATACACTGTATACAAAGGGACATTGCTATGCATCGAGGAAAGTTAGCCCAAAGTACTCCAACTCCCTCTGGGCGGCACGGTGGCTGAGTGGATAGCACTTCCCGCCTCTCAGCAAGAAGGTCCTGGGTTCGAATCCCGGTTGGACCAGGGCCTTTCTGAGTGGAGTTTGCATGTTCTCCCCGTGTCTGCTCCGGTTTCCTCCGGGTGCTCCGGTTTCCCCTACCACTAAAAATATGTACAATAGGTCTGACATGTGCCTCCTGTACTGGCACCCCCACTCCCAAAAATAACAATTGTAAACCGCTTTGAGACTCCGATGTGCAGTGAAAAGGCGGTATATAAATAAAGATTACTACTACTACTCTGGCTTCTGTTGACTTGGATTGTAGAATAAAGTCTGTTTGTGTCACACTCACCATTTTGGAAAATTTGTGGTTTAGCTCTGTCTCTGATCCTAATGATTCTGCCCCTGTTACAACACAAAGCTAACCCCATTGGAACATACATGTATAGGAATAATAGCTCCAGTTAGCTTATGTTCAAAACAGTTACTTCCACATCCATTCAGTTAGTCCTTTCCTAATACAGTCTGTGGAATTTAGGCATTGAACCTGAATAAACTGTTATTGTTTTTTTTAATGAAGGATGGGCTGTAGAAACTAGCAGTAAAAAGTTGTTTTAGGAGATTTTTGCCACTTTGCTCAAGAAATATTGTTCTGAGGACCGCATTTGGCTCGCAGACCTTAGTTTGGACGTGCCTGGTTTATACATTTGATCTCTGTAGCCTTGTCTTTTGTACTGTAATTTATCGTTCTTGTTTCTTGTTTTGGAAAATGTGTAATCAAATCAATGTTCAACTCTTTATGGCTAATCTTGTATTTTTCTTGTCGTAGCTGGACCCGCAAACGTTACAAAACAAAGACTGGCAAAGAACTGTTATTGCGATGAATGGGGTGAGTCGTGAGTAAGATTTCACATTGTAAAACATGAGATTTGACGTTGTTCTGACTTGGTTTTTACAGATTGAAGTGAAATTGTCGATGAAGTTCACGAGCCGAGAATTCAGCCTAAAGAGGATGCCTTCAAGGAAACAATCCGGAGTCTTCGGCGTCAAAATAAACGTGGTGACAAAGTATGCACTACATGATGTGTAATATTTGAATATGTTTAAAGAAGATATGACCTTACACAGTGTTATGTTTGTTGACAAAAACTATGAGACAAATACAACAAAGGCTTTTGAAAGATTTAACTCTGTGACTTAAATAGTGATGCAGCCAATTTGTGTTGTGTTTGAATTTGGTTGCAGCTGTTGTTTATGTGAACAGCAGAGGGCGCAAACTCACGAAGAGAAGGGAAATACACAGGACTTGACCATAGACTGTATATATTAACGGACGTAGTCAGGCCTATTTCCGCCGTTCTAATGGGCCAAAAATTGGGCTTTCATGGAGTGATTCAAAATGGCCGCGGGGGCTGCAAAATGTGAAAAAACACATCTGCGCATGCGTCAGCTGCACGAGCTCCATTCATTTAAACGAGTGACTTCAAAAATTCACAGCGACTAAATTAGACTGGTCCAAAACACCCCCCTCAGCATTGACACACATGTGGAACGGAGCTTCGGGCCAAGAGCCAACTTTTGGACCATCCTGTAAATGTGTTTGAGAGGTCAGCTAATGCTATATGTTAGCATTGGCTAATTCTTATTCCGGGTCCACCCCCATTGGCCCGGGGTGGTATTGCAGCATGTCAGCGCACGTCATTTTGTCCACTTTTGAGCAGGGACCCGCCCCCACTGGGCTTGACTTGATGTGATTAATGGCATAGTCAGAGGAGAGTTTATGTACTTATTATTTTGACTCCATCAAGTTTTAGTAGCTATAGGACGCACCTTTTTGTCAGTATAATACTTTCTACTTGTTGTTTAAGTGCGACGTTACAACATGCTTAACCGGCTTATATTCAAGTGTGGACAAAACTTAGCTGTTGCGGTATATACACAAGTGCACTTGATAGTCCAGCAAGTACTGCACATAACTGATAATCTATGTATAAAGACAAGATTATTGTATTATTGCAGGAAAATGAGGCATGTGATGAAAGTGTAGAAGAGAGTGTTGTGTTTAACTGGGCCCAACCTGGAGCTGCACTGATGACTGAGCGATTTCTTAATATCTTTCAGGAGAGAGCGGTCGAAGGTGCCACTGATCGTGCGGCAGTGTGTGGAGGAGATCGAGCGCCGAGGGATGGAGGAGGTGGGGATCTACCGAGTCTCCGGAGTGGCCACAGACATACAGGCGCTGAAGGCTGCGTTTGACACCAGTACGTTCACCTCCGCACATGACAGGAGACATATTGTGCCAAGTTCATTTTTAAGATCATTCAAGGGTTTGGTTTTGCTTCTCATTTAACTACTATCGGAGAAGAGGTCGAGTCACTATCTGCGCTGCTATAGACCTATATTGGCCAAATCTTTTACATTTTAGCAGCTTTTTACAGCCGTTTTATTTATGTTTCTTACTAGTCAAATTATTAGTTTAGTGCAGCACAGTCCTAGTGTTGGAGTTTGTATTATTGAAACATTTGACACCAATATTTTCACTTTTACCGCAAATAAATATTGGCTCTACATATGATGGTTATTGGCCTCCTCGACTATTGATTATCAGAGTTGAATTACTTTTTTTAAAAACAATTTTTGATTCCATTTCTAACTTCCTTTAATTTACTACATAATCATCTATTATTTTGGCATTATAAAGGAAAAGGGTTGGCTTGTTTCTACTTTTTAAAATGTTATTAATAATATTATCTTCTTGATTTAACTTTAAGTATTGTTCTGACAATGATGTTGTTCCCCGGTGAGATTTTAAACCTGGAGAGCTTCATGTGTGTTAGCTTTGATTATTATTTTGTTTTTTATATTTTACTTTGATTCATTGGTTTCATAGACTGTATTTATACCAGACAAAGCACAACATGTCAGCTTTTTCTTGGTTTTGTTTTATCTTTGATTGCTTTGGTGTAAAGTAAATGATTATCATACAATTCCAATGTATTTGTAAAACCTATTTATCCATGAGACTAAGTTTTACTGTTTCTCTGTAGATAATAAAGATGTGTCTTTGATGATGAGAGACATGGACGTCAATGCCATAGCTGGGACTTTGAAGTTGTATTTCCGTGAACTCCCAGAGCCGCTCTTCACTGACGAGCTGTACCCAAACTTTGCTGGAGGCATTGGTCAGTGGATGCATACATTATTATTATTATTCACACCTTTGAGTGATTATTCTTAATGAATTGCATTTCCCCTCGTAGCTCTGTCAGACAGTGTGGCCAAGGAGAGCTGCATGTTGAACTTACTGCTGTCTCTGCCTGAAACCAACCTGGTCACTTTTCTCTTCATACTCGACCATTTAAAAAGGTATTTAACTTGTCCTATTTGTTAATGCATGAAAGTGAACCGTTCAATTTTAACTACTGTCTCCTCTTTTGAAGGATTGCTGATAATGAGTGTGTTAACAAGATGTCATTGCACAACCTGGCCACAGTTTTTGGTCCCACGTTGCTGCGACCATCTGAGAAAGACTCTAAACTCTACAGCACTCAGCCCATCTCTATGAATGACTGCTGGTCTCTGGAAGTCATGGCACAGGTACCATAAATAAATCCTTACATAATCATTTTATCTCTATGGAAAGAGATTAATTTGTGGCTCTTTATTTATCATTTTAATAAAATCTTGTGTTTCTAGGTCCAAGTGTTGCTGTATTTTCTGCAGCTTGAGGGAATCCCGACTCCAGACAGCAAACGCCAGAGCCTGCTCTTCTCCACAGAAGTGTAACATGAGACGAACTCGTTCATAATGAGAAAGAATTCCCTTTTCTGCAACATGAATGCTGCTGAGCAGCTGCTGGTTTACTCTGAGAGAAGTTACATTGTGTGTCCACTAGAGGGAGTCTGTGACCCACGTGTGGTTCACATAAAACACTGAGTTTTGTTTTCCAGTTCAAATCATTCCTGAGTTTATTGGAACATCACACTTTTCTTCAGAACAAAACTTCCCTTGTTCTGTCACTGTGCACATCTCTCCAGTCAAAGGAGAATTACTATTTTGCTGGTTAAGATGTTTTTATTGATTATGTTGAATGATTGCTTGTTTTGTTAAAAGCTGTGCCAATGTTTCCCTGCTGATGACCAATAGAGCATTTCATTTAATCTTATGTTTACACTCTTTTATTTTATAAAGTGATTGAATAGTGTTCGGCGTCACTAAACATGCAGGCATGTTGAGCTAATTGTTTTGAATGTTCCATAATTGTTGATATTTGTATTGTTTGGTTAAGTAACAGCTCCTAATATACTGAGGCGATGGTAAACACATTTCCAGTAAGTTACTATTTTAGTTTCACTTTTTGAGAAACAATTGAAAAACTAAAATGCCAAATTCCTGCAATGATTTCATTTGAGATTGATTTAGCTTTGAAATTAATCAATCAATAAATCAAAAATGATTCTTAGGCATTCAATTTCATTTAGTTGATGTGATAACAGCTTTTTTCTAAAGGCAGTGTTTTTTATGACAACAATGAAGGGCATTGAGGTCAATCATGTCATGTTGTTTTTTCTTCTGCTGATTCCCATACAACAGTATTACATGTGCTTTCCTCCTGTGTGATTGAACAGCTGTAGATCTGGGTCATACTAGTCTAACCTACAAACTGTTCCTCGCTGTTCTCTTAAAGAGCCATATCCAACATTCACTGGTTTAAAACGGTCATTACAGCCACATTTTTCTTCCACATTCCCAGTGTTGGCGTAAACGTCTGTGAAAGCACGTGTCACTGCAAGTATTATACTTTTATTACCGCACAAAGCAATAATTGTACGATTAGTGTGTATCATATGTAAACGTGTAAATAAATAATGGATAATATTGTGTGTTTATGAATGACTCTGTTCACACATTTCTCACACTTCAGATGAATGGAGTGGCAGGCAGTGGTATGTTTTCTCTCTCACTATATCTGCTGTCCTTGACACTCGGCCAGTTCATAATTCTGCTATCTACGTTGTTTCACACAGTCTTCTGGGAAAAGAGACGAAAGATAGTGAGAATGTGCTTTTGTTTAAAAAGTCAGTAACCAAAACTTATCGACCTAATTTACATGGTGTACGAACCAAGGCTTTTCCCCTCGGAGAAAAACTGAACATTCCAGGTCAGATAGTGTAGAGGTGACATCTTTATACATTTCACTTTCCACACTCCAGACAAAGCAAGACTTTGATGCTTGTATTGGCAATAAGACTCAATTATGGCATTGGTTTTTAGGGTGCCTTGAAACAAAACAAAAAAATAACTATCACAGGTGTTTTCTGTTGGGGTTCTCTACCTGCTTGTTGCCATAGCTTCTTTTCATGTAAAACGATCTACAATATACATCAAACTTGTATGTTTTAAATATTTACTGCTCAAAAAGTTCATATTTTGGAGTGACTTCATGTAGATGTAAAACCAAACTTTTAATTTCAGAGTTTAAAAAAAATCTTTTTACACTTTGCCCTAAAAACTTTCTCAAAACTGGCACATTCATATGCATTTTTTGCTTTGGTCTCTGGTCAAATGGATCAATAAATGATACATGGATGATGCATAGATAATAAACAACATAGGCCCCAAGAAAAAAGCTCCCCTCCTAATACTAACACATGTATCACATCGCTCTCTCCTTTTGAAGGCTAAAAATATAATATATATATATATATATATACACACAGAGAGACACAATGTATATACAGTATAAAACAAAATAATATAAAAATAAAACAAATTTCCATATGCACTAGAACTCAGAGCAGTCCATTTGACGGCTTATAATTTTGGAAGAGTATGTACATTTATGGTCTTCCCAACTTGACTTTTTATGTATCTAAATGTAGTTTTATGTCATCGACTTTGTGAAAGGATCTTATATTTTTTAAATGTGAGAAGTTCCAAATTTATCTCCAGTTAAATCTTTTTTTCATGGTGCTGGTGCAGGAATGGGTCTGGTCCTGCCTGGACTGGTCCTGGACTCGGGTCTGGCTCAGAGGCAGAGTTGAGTTTTCCACCAAATGAGGGCTGGTTACCATAGCAACACACTGTTTACCTATCACACCGTTTATCCTTTCAACAAACCTTTTTCTTAAGAAACCACTTAGAACGTATTAAAAGTGAGTAAAGGTAAAATAAATAGTAAAAACGTATGACTAACTTGCTCTTAATTGACCTGGTGAAAAAAAAAAAAAATCGGGGAATTTCTTTCTTGGTTTAAATGGGTAGTTTCACATTTTCCACAAAAAGACAAAATTACCCTTTTCTGACGCAGGCAAATATTTATTAGAGAGAGAGTGCGTTGGATATAGGGGGGCAGTTGTAACAGCCCTACTGTCCGGGCACTAGTGGGTGATGCTGAGGTGATGCAGACACCAGTGGAGGCTGCTCACACACAGAGGCTCATTCTACTGCTGCCAACTCCACAGAGACATCAGCCCAAACCAATGCAGCCTTCCCCGCGATTTACTGCCACTACCACCCGCTCACCCACCACAGATGACGCCCCACTTTCAGAATAACCTCAAGGGGGAACGAATGGATGGAATTGAGGTAGGACAATCTGCAAACAATCTTATAAAGTTGTGTGTTTTTGCCGGTGATGCTAATATGCTAAGGTTGGGTTAGCATGTGGAGTTAGCTAGTATTGCCGAAGCGCAGTGACAGAAGGTAAACAGAGTATTAAAAAGCAAAATAATTTGATCGAGTGCAATGGTTTAGTCTGAATGTGTTTGCTTTAGAATCGAGTGCAATAAAACATTTTTTGAACGTCCAAATGCATTTTTACGACTAAAGTATAAGTCAAAAAGTTAAAATGATTTAACCGGAAACACCCGTTTAAAGTTTCAAAATAAAACGTTTTTAACATGTAAATCGCATTGTATTAAAATTGTCTACACACCAGCGTCATATATAACTGAAAATAGTATTAATAATACATTAATCCTTCTGCTAAATGTTGATACACGTTTATCTATGTGTTTAAATAATATATGTTTTGGCTTTTGTTGTGAAAAGGATTTGCCAAACCGGAAACAGATTGGTTAGCGTTTGTTGAGATTCAAATGCTAACTAGCTTCGTTTGTGATTTTCGGGTCTAGCTTTTCTTTAAACTGTAATATTGACTTTATTGTAGTGAAAAGTGTATGTATATGAAATGTTTATAAAGTTGGTCATGTATTTTGTTTAATTTTGATCGGTGCTGTCTTTCTGCGAGGTCCCAGAACAATGCATCATCAGCCCCCATAAAGTCAACATTTGTTAGTTGTTGCCACTTGTCTGTCATTGTCATTTTGTCTGAGTCCAAAGAATCTGGTGTGTATGTTTAAACCAGACTTTTCCCCAAGACCATCTTCAATATTTTCAAACAAAGGTAACCAGAGATGTGCAGAGTTTTCCCAGGGATCATGATTGATGTCAGGAATGTACTGCCAAAATAAATCCAGTGTCAACGTGTATCCCAGGACCTCAAGAGCTATTCCATAACCGTGAAACCAAAATGTTAGTCCCAACGTCATTAAATTCAATTAACACTGAAGTGTGTGTGTTTTTCTTAATTGGCTGACCATAACATCCTAAACACTAGGCTGTTGTCATTTCACCTGTCCACTAATCTTTGTCCATCCATCCATCCATTTTCTTCCGCTTTATCCGTTGCCGGGTCGCGGGGGCAGCAGTCTAAGCAGAGACGCCCAGACTTCCCTATCCACACACACTTCCTCCAGCTCGTCCGGGGGGACCCCAAGGCGTTCCCAGGCCAGCTGAGAGATATAGTCCCTCCAGCGTGTCCTGGGTCTTCCGCGGGGCCTCCTCCCGGTGGGACGTGCCCGGAACACCTCCCCAGGGAGGCGTCCAGGAGGCATCCGGAACAGATGCCCGAGCCACCTCAACTGGTTCCTCTCGACGTGGAGAAGCAGCGGTTCTACTCCGAGCTCCTCCCGTGTGACTGAGCTCCTCACCCTATCTCTAAGGGAGCGCCCAGCCACTCTGCGGAGGAAGCTCATTTCGACCGCTTGTATCCGCGATCTCGTTCTTTCGGTCATTACCCAAAGCTCATGACCATAGATGAGGGAGGGAACGAAGATTGACCGGTAAATCGAGAGCTTTGCCTTTCGGCTCAGCTCCCTCTTCACCACAACGGTCCGATACAGCGACCGCATAACTGCGCACGCTGCACCGATCCGCCTGTCAATCTCACGCTCCATTCTTCCCTCACTCGTGAACAAGACCCCGAGATACTTGAACTCCTCCACTTGAGGAAGGACCTCTCCACCCACCTGCAGAGGGCAAGGCACCTTTTTCCGGTCGAGCACCATGGCCTCGGATTTGGAGGTGCTGATTCTCATCCCAGCCGCTTCACACTCGGCTGCAAACCGTCCCAGTGCATGCTGCAGGTCCTGGTTCGTTGGAGCCAACAGGACAACATCGTCCGCAAACAGCAGAGATGAAATCCTGTGGTCTCCGAACCGGACCCCCTCCGACCCCTGGCTGCGCCTAGATATTCTGTCCATAAATACAGTGAACAGAACCGGTGACAAAGGGCAGCCCTGTCGGAGGCCAACATTCACCGGGAACAGGTCTGACTTACTGCCGGCAATGCGAACACAGCTCTGGCTCTGGTCATACAGGGATCGGATGGCCCTCAGCAGAGGACCCCCGACCCCGTACTCCCGGAGAACCCCCCAAAGGACACCCCCGGGGAACACAGTCGAACGCCTTCTCCAAATCCACAAAGCACATGTGGACAGGTT